AAAAAAAAAGAAAGGGACAAGTCGATTTAGAGTGGAGACACTTAAATCTCATTTTGATCAAGAGCGAATCTGCCTCTTCCCAGATTCGGATGTGGTGCGGATACCAAGACTGATCAAAGGAATGAAGTTGTCTAGGAATTATTGTTAACTGATTGAATGGTGAGCTGCTCAGTTTCATTCCAAGGACATTTTGAGGAACATGAATAGAACATATGACTTAAATTATAATGAAGAGTACAAGTTTGATTTGAGTGACCCCCCAGTTTCCCGGAGAAAAAAAAAATTCGCAGAATTTTTTTTTTTTTTTTCCTACTTAGGACGTGGGAAACTGTTGAAGCAAACTTGAAGATATAAAGTATAAGTTGAATTGTTAAAGTCAACTAGTTATGAGTGGTCCGCATACGTTTAAGTTTTTTGTTTACATTGATTTTGGTTGTTTATTCTTATATATAAATGTGTGAATTCAATAGAAGCATAGTTTTACAATATTAATATTATGAGGATAATTTTGTATAAAATGATTTGAGGATAACAATATAAATTGATGAGAGGCTGATTAACCAGTTTCAGCAGACACTAATAAGGGTCTCAAGTGTGAGGCATTATGCACCCCAACAATCTCAAGAGTTTCAGGATCTTGTAAGCGATAGGCATTACCTCTTACAATTGATTCTACAATGAATGGGCCTTCATACAGATGAAAGAACTTTTTTGATTCTCCGGACGATGCGTTTGACAAGTTGTGTTGTCTAAGTAATACCTTATCTCCTATTTTGAATGTTATTAAGTGAAATTTTTCATCATATTGTTGTTTTCTTTTTTGTGCTTGGGAATGTAATTTGTCACGGGCTAAGATTTGAAGTTTGTTAAAATCAGTCTTCTCAGATTCTGGGAAGGAAAGGAAATTGTCAAAGAAATTATGGGCTTTTTGTTTGTGCATGAGTTCATAGGGAGTGCAGCTAACACTAGAATTATGTGTGTGGTTAACACACATTTCAGTCTGGATCCGACAGCCGATGGGTGAAGACGTGTGGCTCGTCTCTCTTTCTGATAAGACTAGTAGCGGTAGTAGATTTGAGTGTCTTGCGGATTTCGCTAGCATGAGTGTGTGCGGAAAGTGTCAAAAGCCTTGTAATCGCCAGGCAAAAGACAATACCAGTTGTGCCATTTGTAAGCTATTATTCCATAATTCATGTGTTGGAATTAGCATCAAGAACTCCTACATTAAAAATTGGACTTGTGGTGAGTGCATCGCATTACGTAATAAGAAAAGCATTGCGCGTTCCTGTAGTGTTGACGCGTCGCCCAACATGGGACGCGGCGAACGAGTGAGGAAAACGAGTACTCCTACTCCCGTGAGCTCGGCTTGTTTTGTCAACAATCTCTCCGCGTCCGCTAGTGATGTAGATGAGGTTAGCATGAGTGCTATCAAGGAGTTGTTTTCCCAAACGAATGCGAGGCTTACGGCTGGTCTACAAAAATTAGAGACGGACTTGGGTGAGTCAATTAACCTGTGCCATTCCAAAATTGATGAATTCATGGAACTTTTGAAGGCTCAAAAGTGTTTAATAGAGCAACAGGGCAAGGTGATAGAGGAACAGCACTCGCAAATCGTGAAGCTCAATAAGAGAGTCAGTGAGCTTGAAGTGCGTACTGAAAACCAGGAGCAATATTCTCGAGCAAATTCTCTTGAAATTTACGGAGTGCCAGAAACCAAAAATGAGGACCCCGTGCGGATTGTGGTCGAGATTTGCCGTAAACTTGGTGTGCAGATCAATGAAACTGCAATTGATGCATGTCATCGGCTTGGCAAGCAGACTAACAGAACGAGTGCTGGAATAATTGTCAAGTTTGTGAGGCGCCTTGATAAGGAGTCAATTCTAACCAAAAAACGGGTCTTCAGGAATTTGTCTACAAGTCAAATTGGTATGAAAGTTGACTATCCCATATTCATTAATCAGTCACTGTCACCTAATCGTAGAATCCTTTTTGCTAAAGCCAAGGAGCTTAATAGAGAGCTCAAATGGAAATTTTTGTGGGTGGACAAGGCTGGTAGGATTAAGATGAGAAAGCATGAGAAAGCTTCGGTACAAGTAATATCTACCCCTAGCGATTTGGATAATTTAAAGAAATTCATCGTTAACAAGGAGTCGTTAAAAAGACAATCTGATTTGAGTATAAGTGGAAGGGGTGAGGATTCAACCTTAGTGGGGGATGATTCAACTCCTGTCAATTCTGTGACACCACACTGAACCTTGCACTATCTGTGGTATGTACATAGCTCTCATTTTTCCTTTTTCCATTCTAAATGAATCGCAATATGCAGGTTGGTCTAAAAATGTCTGGTAAAATGTTATTCTTAACGGCTGTCTATTTTTCCCCAACTGCCAATTTAAATGATTTTATGGAATTTGTAGAGTACATGGAAAATAACCCTGAATTAATCATCCATGACAATGTAATAGTAGGTGACTTTAATATAAGTGATGTTAAAGGAATTAACTATGACTTCACATCGGGGAATGCTAACGCTAGGTCTCTGAGCAATTTAATGGCACTACTTAATTTAAGATCTTGTAATAATGTGCTGAATTTTCAAGGTAAAACTCTGGACTTACTTCTTAGTAGTACTCATGTAGTGGTACAAAGGGAATTTTACCCTCTCTTATCTGAGGATGTGTATCACCCTTGCCTCCTTTTTAAATGTGACAATCTGTATGTTGATGTTGCCAGATCAGTAAACATCCAACGCCCTTATCTTAATTTTAAAAAAGCAAACTTTAAGGAACTGTATTTTCGCCTTAGTCATGCGAATTGGGAACATCTTTTTAGTTTAACTGATCCAAATGCTGCTGTGGACTACTTTTATTCGGTATTAAATGATGCCATATATAGTTCTGTACCTATGAACATGCTCATTACAAAGTCTAAATTCCCCACTTGGTTCACACGAGAATTGATCGTAATGGTCAAGTTAAAGAATAGATTAGCAAGGAAAAGGAAATTGTCCAAACACTATTTAAATAGATTTAGGGTGCTCAGGTCTGAAATAAAAAGAGTCTCTAGTAGGGCGTATAAAATGTATATGGTCAAGTTACAAGACAGCGTAAAAACCAACGTCAAAGAGTTTTGGAATTATGTGAATAGCAGGAGAAGGACTACTATGTTAAGGGATACATTTAAACTCAATGATGTTAGGTACCCAGGTGCTAACTTAGCTCAGGGATTTGCTGATCACTTTTCCTCTGTCTTTGTATCTCAAAAATCTGCTGAGTCAAGCCTTCTAAATCAAAATCATGTTAGGGATCCTGATTTGTGTCATAGGGAAAATGGGTACCCGGAAGTAGATATGCTAAATATCAACTTTATTACAATAGGTGAAGTGCGGGATGCGCTGCGGATGTTGAAAGCGAAAAAATCTTGTGGTCCGGACGGTATCCCGTCCTATATCACAAAGGGGTGCGCTGATTTGTTGGTAACCCCTCTAACTCATATTATTAATACTTCAATTCAATCTGGTGTTTTCCCATCCAAATGGAAAATGGCTAACGTATCCCCGATTTTCAAAACAGGTGATGAAGCAGAAATATCTAATTACAGACCCATAGCCATCTTAAATGCCTGTGCAAAAGTATATGAGAGAGTTTTGTTTAAGTTAGTTTATAATCATGTAAAAAATTATATCTCTAGTTACCAACACGGTTTTATGCCAGGCAGATCGACAATAACTAACTTACTGTTGTTTACTGACTTCATCTCATGTGAACTGGATTCTGCCTCTAGAGTTGATGCGATCTACCTTGATTTCAAAAAAGCATTTGACAGGGTAAATCATGCTGTATTACTTAATAAATTACGTAAATTTGGTTTTTCTAATTTACTGTTAAAACTGTTTGCTAGCTATCTTCAAGGTAGATCATTACAAGTTATATTTGGTCATTACAAATCTGAAGAGTTTTTCAGTAACATAGGGGTGCCCCAGGGGAGCAACTTAGGTCCCTTGCTTTTCCTGTTAATGATTAATGATTTGCCTGATAGAGTTAAACATTCGAAAATTTTGTTGTTTGCGGATGATGTTAAACTCTACAATTCAATAGCAAATGAAGATGATATGGCGTGCTTGCAGGAGGACCTGGTCAATATCTCGGAATGGTGCAGAGATAATGATATGGATCTAAATGCCGGCAAATGCAAATTTATTACTTTCACTAGAAAAACAGACTTTCCTGTACTCAATTATAATATTAATGGAATTGAGTTAGAACGAGTTAACGTGATAAGAGATTTGGGTGTGCTTTTAGACAGTGAGCTTTCATTTAAGTACCACATTGACAACCTTGTGAATGCAGGAAACAAATTATTGGGTTTTGTAATAAGAAATACTAGATATTTCACGGACATAGCAACATCATTATTACTGTTTAATTCATTAGTGCGTAGTAAGTTGGAGTATGCATCAGAGATATGGAATCCGTCATATAATACATGCGATAACAGCATTGAAAGGATACAAAATAAATTCCTTCGGTATTTATATTTTAAAAAGCACCATGTTAAGTTCCCCCTCGGAGGACATGTTGGGGATCTGAGGTCCTCGTTCTCGGTCTCTAAACTCCTAACTAGAAGGAAATTAGCGGATTTAGTGTTCCTCTATAAGATTGTAAATAGCTTAATAAATAGCTCTCTAATTTTAGAGAATGTAAAGCTGGTTGTACCGCGATCTGGTCTTCGACCTACATCTAAGTTATTTTATGTCCCGAGAGTGAGGACAGCACATCGCCAGCAAGCCTTCTTAATTAGGGCGTGCGCTCTGGCTAATGAACTTGACGGTTTGGACTTGTTTGCAGTTTCGGTTGGAGCTTTTGCCAGTGACTGTCTCGGGCGGCTCACTCTTGATTAAATCACTCTATTTTGTTTTTTGTTTTTTTGTCTATTGTGTTTTTTTTTTTTTTTTTTTTTTTTTTTCTAACTTTTTCTTTTCACACTTATGTAAGCATTTTCCTTTTGTTTTCTTTGGTAATGTTATCTAGTCTTAGTTATGATAATTTTATGTTACATTTTATTGGTTTTTGTGTTCCAGACCCATATATTGGATATTGATTTTCTTTTGTGTTATTAAGATATGTTTTGGGGCCCCTGTGGCCCTGTATATCTTTGTATAAGTTTTGAAATAAATAAATAAATAAATAAATAAAATTTCCCAGAAAGATAGGTATTTTATCCACGAACAATGGTTATCGTGACAATAAATTCGAAAGAAGTTGCCAAGAAGCTTCATATACCTCTCAACGGGGTTGGATCTTGGATGGTAAACAGAGGATTTGTTGGCAAAATTCCTACTTCTTGAAGACGGTTGTTCCAAAGTTTAGAACGGTAACATGGACCATTATCTGATAAGACTGCAGAAGGTTTTCCTACTTCCGGGACATAACAGGTTAAGAATTTTCTGGTTACAGCTACTGCTGTGGCAGACCTCAGGGGATACAGTTTAATGTATTTTGTGAAGACATCGAGGACAACGAGTATGTGACAGAAATTACCCTTAGACTTAGGGAGAGGACCCATGAGGTCGATGGAGACAAGTTCAAGAGGTTTTTCAGCCAAAATGGGATGCATGGGAGATCGAAAATAGTGTTGTGGTGTTTTACTTTTTTGACAATCTAAGCATGAGGTAACAATTTTCCTGGTTTTTGAGTCTAAGTTGGCAAAATAAACAAAAGATGACAAGTATTTGGCGGTTTTAGTACATCCAAAGTGTCCGATGGACAAATGAGCTGCATTTATTATATCGGTTTCCATAGATTTTGGAATGCAAACTCTCCAGTTGCTATCGTGTGTGTTTCTGTGAAAAAGTACATTTTTGAGTAGAGTGTATAAATCATTATATTTTAATGTTACATTATTGGAAAGATTATCATAGATAGGACCAAATTCTGGGTCAGATTTTTGAGCATCAGATATGTTTTTGAAGGTATTTGTGAAGTTAGGAACGACAGATATCTTTGAAATGTTAAGTTCAAGATCAAAAGGAGGTAAATTATGCAACTCAGGCGGGTGCCTAGATAAAGTATCTGCGACAATGTTATCACTTCCTTTAACATATTCTATATCCAGGTCAAACTGTTGGAGGAAAAGTGCCCAACGCATGAGTCGGCCAGAGGATAATGTACACTTATT